TGCGGTGCCGGCGGCCCCAGCCCCGCCGCTGCGCCGCCCCTGCTCCAGGGACCCCAAAATGGTCCATCAGCGGTTCCTGCGGAGGAGCGTGGTGGACTCGGACCAGGAGGAGCCTGCCTTCGATCTTCCCGAGTCGGAGCATCAGAGGAAGATCATCCTGCTCCCTAAAACCAGGAGGATAATCGCGGAGCGGGCGAAAGCAGGGCACGGGGCCGCCGAGCCAGTGTGCGGGGCGGCTGAGGCCGAGCCTCCCGGGGAGCCGAGGGCAGCGGCTGCCCCCGGCAGCGGTGTGGGGGCCGAGGAGCAGAGGGAGCCTGGCAGGGATGTGGAGAGGAAAGAGGCGGCGGATGCTTCCAAAGACCAGAGCAAGGCTAAGAAAGAGGAGCCCGAGGAGGAGGCCGATATGAAAGCGGTTGCCACCTCGCTGGACGGCAGGTTCCTAAAGTTTGATATTGAACTGGGGAGGGGATCCTTCAAAACGGTCTATAAGGGTCTGGACACGGAGACGTGGGTGGAAGTTGCATGGTGCGAACTTCAGGTAAGCTGAGCTGATCCTCCTGTCTCTCTTTCTGCTTTGTAAGCCTAGCAGCTAAGGGTAGCGTGCCGGTGTCACCTACAGCAGCTCAGCTCTGAGCAGCCTCCTAAGCCTCGCCAGCGCTTGGTAGCCAGGGTCTAACTATAGCGCAATATCCTCATTGGCTCTGAATCCACCACCTTATGTACACTCCTCCCAGGCTTAACCCCCTCGGCCCGGGGGTCTGGCGCTGCTATTATAGGAGCTGTCATATTGCATGGAAGGCTCTCGAGTTGTGCTCTCCAAAGGCGCAACGCCTGCCACAAGGAGCTACCAGAGCTCCTCTCCCCCCTACCCCCAGCCGCTTCCAAAAGCAGCAGCCTGGCTTGGCTGGAGTGGAGCAGTAGGGCTCGCTTAACCAGACACCAAGCACAAATGAAGTCGGAGAGCATTTGCAGGCGTGGACTTTCCTGTTTCAAGAAATATAAATGCATTTTGCTTTTACAAAGATTGAAGGTCCCTTGCCCCTTCCCCTGCTCTGAGATGGGGGCTGTTGCTGGCTCCCCGGACCCCTGACAGCTCCCCTTTTCTTCCGCATCAGGAACTGGTGCTCCAGTTTAGCCAAAGACCCCTCTATCCAAATACCTTCTAAAATGAAGTTTTTTTAAATAAAAGATCTGACTTGGCTTCTAGGTCTCTGGGGTGAAGTCGCCCAGTAACACCTAAAGAAAGCGAAGGTTTAGCTGCTGTTTCCTGCTGGTGTGGCACATAGCTGTTACCCTTCTCTTAGGGATATTTATATTCTCACTTCTGCAAAACGACAGTAGTAAATGCTTAATTTTTTTCCTTGTGAAGCTGTTGGTGTCTGCCTCATGTCTGTTAGCATCCATTTGAATGAGACCTATCCAAGAGGAAAAAATGGAGATAGATTTTAATTTTTTTCTTCTTGGCCTGAGTTACCCTGCAATTTTGGTGGGAACTGGAAAATTTAACTCTTAGTTATAATTTGGGGTCCTTCAACTCCCACTAGGCTGACTGAGCTTTACGGCCTACGGGAGCGTTTGAGAAGAGCATGTAAATAATGCGATGCAATTAGCCTGAGCTCCTGATTGATTGTTTATTTTTTAATGTTGGCCCAATCTGTTTGTAAATCAGTCCCGGCTTCCTGGGAGAGGCGGGGATGGATATACAGCCACATCTTCATTCCCTAATGATTTCATTACAGAATATAATCATCACTCGCTGCAGCGCTACTTCCTCAGTAAGGAGTATGGGGAGCGCTGGGACTCCGTGGTCACACACCCCCATGGCTTTATTAGACAGAAATGTGAAATGCAGAGCCCCGGTGGCTGGGCAGGGTGAGGAGGGCTGCTGGTAAGGGGTCTGAGCCTTCCTCCCCCCAGCCTGGAGGGGCTCCTGGAGGGTTCCCAGGGAACAGGGACGAGACCCTGGGAGCCGGGGGGGATTTGTGGGAGAGTGGGGGATTTGCGGGAGTGAAGCCTGGAGAGCCTTGTGGGCAGGCCTGCCCTTTGTCTGGCTTTGCCTTGGAGCTGAATCCTGAGCGTGTAAGGCTTTGACTTGGGCAGCCTGAAATTCATTTGGGATGATAATGGGTGCTGGTGGAGGGCAGGTTTGTCTGGAGTATGTTGTCCAGCTGCAGGCCTGACAGCGCAGGCCAGCTCTGTCACCGCAGAGCCATCACACGGATCAGGAATTCATCTTGTTGGCAAATCTTTCAGTATGCTCTAGCAGGGGAGCTGAAATGGTTGTGTTTTCAATGTAATTTCTGTAGCAGAACAGCTTTAACTACAAAAGGCTGCCAGATGTATAGGAGAACACGGTGTATTGAAATTCTAGTGTTTGCATCTTTTACATTTAAAGAGCTTGGGAAGGGAAAATTGCAGTATGAAGCTACCTGGTGACTGCTTTTCTTAATCCCAGTTATACTTGTTCAGGAATTCTTGAACCAACTGCATGTGAAGAAGTCATCTGTAATAATTCCCTAATTCCCACTAGTTTCCATTATATGTGCTTTGGCTGAAACCACATCTTGCTACCGGATATTTTCAATTTAATCCAGAATTTGTTTTGGGCCTCTCTTTAGAAAGAAAGCTCTTTATTATTCAACTGCTTTAGAGAAGGGGGTGTGAATCCGGAGAAACGGGCTGCTGGTTTTCCTCAGCACTGCTGTCTTGTTGCCAGAGGCCAGGTAACCAGCTGGGGCCTGGATTCTGAAAGCCAGTGCTTTGGCCTGGACTGAGAACTCCTGAATGACAAAAGTCTTTAATCACCATGGCATTAAAGGTGCTCCCAGGATGAGTTTGCCTGAGGGAAGCAGCCAGAAGGGGTGAATAGCTGCCCCTTGTTTGGGGCTGCTGGACTTGTAGCGTGCCCCCCCTCAATTCAGCTGGGGGGGGATGTTACTGGGAAAACATTCAGGGGGTGCTGCCAGAAGTAATCACTTCACGGCATTTTGAGAGTCTGTGTACACCGTGCCAGTTGGATATGCCTCCATTTGTCCCTTCCTCTGTAGGAGTTTCAAGTTCAGATGCACACAGCAGGGACTGAGTGGAAGCTGCCCTCACCCTCCTGTTGGAGACCAAATGACTGCAGTCTCACACCGTCAAATCCTGTCCCAGCGCCTTTCTGTGGCAAAGATTGCAACAAACTGCACTTTGCCCTTCTCCTGGAGATGCACTTGTGCTTGTTGCTTTCAGTGCCAGCAAGCTAAACATGAGCAGTGTCGAGGTTCTGCAGGGTGTTAATCTGCAGTCCTTGCTCAGCACTTCTGTTGGCCCAGCTGTGCTGTTGCCTGGGTGCCTGTCTTTTTTTTGGTTTTTTGGTCTGTCTGTACAAAGACCTTGTGAGCCATTCTCGTTCAGTGGTTTTGTGTAATTGAAAAGATGGCTTTAGGGTTCAGAACTGAAATCGTGGCTTGGATTAGGGTAGGATCCAAATGCTAACTGAGCTAGATCTGGGGTTTAGACCTGCCTGAAGACGTGAAAGCTGTAGTCAAAGTCTAGCTAGAAAATAAGTTTATTGTTCCTTCCTGGAACTCAAGTATTGGAGCAGGATTAGTGTGCCCTTGCAGTTTGGAAGGGTTTGCATTCTAAGGTTTTCAGCAGCTATAATTAATTTTAATTGGTGGTGTACAATTGCTGTGTGGTGAGGCTTCAGCATAAGTGTTGCACTCTTAAGTAAAATGTTAGGTCATGAGTAAGGAACACAGGCTTTTGCCAACCTGCTGCTGGCAAGCCAAATATCCTTTTTAGTTAGATGAATGGCTTCAAAATCCCTATCCTATTCCCTTTGGGAACCTGTAGGGAAAAAAACAGAAGCTCAAACCTGGTACCATCTCAAATGCAAAGACCTCATTGTGAATCACAGGTTGGAAGGGACCCCAAGGCTCATCTGGCCCAACCTTTCTAGGCAAGAGCCCAGTCCAGACAAGATGGCCCAGCTGAGGCTTGAAAGTGTCCAGTATGTTCATGGTTCTTGCTTGGACTGTGAACTGAGCTTCTATTAGATTGTCTTCATTTTGATTTTCTTTGTTGAAAATGTGGAAATCATGTGTCAGGACAAGGGGTAATGGTTTTAAACTAAAACAGGGTAGGTTTAGACTAGATATAAAGAAGAAATTCTTTACAATGAGGGTGGTGAAACACTGGAACGGGTTGCCCAGAGAGGTAGTGGAGGCCCCATCCCTGGAAACATTCAAGACCAGGTTGGATGGGGCTCTGAGCAACCTGATCTAGTTAGCAGTGTCCCTGCTCACTGCAGGGGGGTTGGACTAGATGACCTCTAGGTGTCCCTTCCAACCCAAAACATTCTATGATTGTCTTACCCTGCTGTTGCTGTACCTGCAGTGGGGAGGTGGGAAATGCCTGTTGGTGAATACTATAGGGAAGCTAGACTTTTTCCACCAGTTGCCTGAGACTTGTTCTCCACTCTGTGTCCTGGTACTTGGGTGGCTGCTGGTTTCTTTGGGAGACTTCGCCTCCAGGTGCTCCCTGTGAGAATGTGTGGGTCCCTGGTGTTCCCTGGGATGGAGGTCAGTTTGGGTATCAGGTGTTGGAGGTATTTGGGGAGCTATGTAAGGGTGAAGGATGGGCAGAGGTTGGTTCTCCTTCCCTGCCCGTATAGCTGGAATTAGAAATCAAGGGCCTTAGAATAGCTGTGGTATTTTCCAAATGGCCACTGAGCCAAGGAGTCTGTCGTGGCAAAGTGGTCACTGGTAGATGGGCTGCTTGAAGGCAGCAATTTCTTGCCCCTGCAGCTTTTCTCCCAAGCTTCTGGAAGCATAGTTCTGTATGGAAAAACTTAATTATCTTTACAAGAGAAGTGTTTTACTTCATGGTTTTATAGCACTTTTGTTTTTATGTCACTGCCAGAGTCTTCAAACTGCCTGAACCAAAGAAAAAAGCATGAAAGTATGTCTTAAATCACTCATATTCAGGAGTTTCAAGTTTTTGGAGGGTACAGATCTTAACTGAAAAGTTCCTAATGCGGATGCATTTCTGAACATTGCTTTCACTTTATCCATATGCAGTATTAATATGGGAACAGATAATGTATTTTCTTGACCTCAGTCATTCCTTAAATGAGACGCTCATCCAGACTGGCTGATACCTGGCTGGTTTTATGGCTTGAATATTCTAGAACTATGAGAAGAGATTAGGCTTTGTTTTAATGCAAGGTCCCTTTTAATAAGGTCCCTTTTCAATAAAAAGGGCATTTAAAATCATCAGACCTATGTGGACTTGCTGATTTTTGTTTCTAAGGCTGATCATCTTTCCTTGAAGCAAAGTTTCTGGTTTGAGTGGAGGGAGGGAGTTGTGTGCAGATTGTGCCGAAGTGTGTTACCTTATGTGTGTGAGAAGGCTGTGATGCCCATGTAACTGTTTTAAATTTTTAAGCGGTATTTTTCATCTTATGTCCACGTAGAAGGTCTGTGATAGTTGTTTAAAGCGATACCGAGGGTCCATGGCTTTTTGTGTAAGCAGATACATTTGCATGGTTAAAAG